CACATGAAGATTTTGGGTTGGATTGGTTGTTCAAGACGACCTCTACTACATGTTCTTTGATCAGAATAGTCTTCGGGAGAGAAAGCAATACTTTTTTAATAACGTGTGGGTGTCCGAGTGAGAAAGTGAGATTTTTTCCTCAATTTGTGCATTGGGTAATGGTTCAGGAGTTATTTGCGAAGGCAATGGTGAAGTAGGGGGTGTTTCAAGGGGTTCCCATGGAGAGAGGAGAGAAATGGAGAACCAAAAAAAGAGTGGGATTCTCATTGTGTTTAAAGGGACCTTCGAGGTTGCTACCTCCAATAGTGGCTATACACATTACTTTTAGTCCCACATAGGGTCCTCAAAGAGTAATATGGGGGTGGGGCTATAGGAAGGTGAAGGTGGGAATTTAATGTGTGAACATCAATGAATGTGGGACTCCCATGTGGGCCTACAAGGAGGGGTGTGGTCGGAGAGTGCGCCACCCGTCTTCCAATTAAAAAAATTAAATACGAAATTGAATATATATTCAAAACATAAAAATGAAAAAAACTTTAAAAATTGGGAACCGGGTAGCAAGCCCAGTTCTTGATAAAACTGGCCGGTTTTATTTAGAGGCCGGTTCTGTCTGGAATAGCAAGGCTCTTTCAAGGACAGCCTAGTTTCTATTGTAGTTATAGCCTTTTAAGGCCTTGGCTGCATCATTCTATTATAGCTCTTGGTCACACTGAGATGAACAAGAGCACTAGACTTACTAGTTTGTAGATAACTAGAATTTGGAAGGTTCCAAACTCCTGAGTTTTGAGGCTTATAAAGAGGGCCTTAACTAAAATTGAAATATTTTTTAGGTTTCAGTCTTCACTAGTCAGGGTCGGTTCGAGAACACCTCATAACTATGTTAGCAAGGGTATAGATGAGAAAAGTTCGAGAATTTATTAGTTTTATAGAAACATATGAGATTAAGCTCTATGTGAGAAGAGTAGGCTTAGGGAGAATATGAGCTAAAACCCCTTACCTCGAGTCTTCCCACATTTGCATAAACATTCATAAAATGGAAGCCGCTCAAAGAAGATATGATTCGCTTATGAGAGTTATGCACATGTTCTAGAGAAAGAACCCCTGCATCCACATAAGCACAAGTCCTTGAGGGTGCACATGTAATATGCTTTTAATCCAGGATCCAAACTCTCTAATGGATATGCTTTGATGCACCAAGCATGTGCCATTGCTATAGAGGGTCATGGGTTCTGTTGGGCAAACTTGAGAGACTGTGGTTTTGGATCTAGCCCAGAGAAGTACCACCCTCCCCATTCTAATTTCCTGTAGGATCCTAATTTTCTTATTTATATTTTTTTAGATGTCAAACTAGGTCATTCTGATGGAAAATGATTGAGAATAAATTAATATGATTTTTTTTAGAATTTTTTTATAAATTTTTATTTGAATGAAAATAGATTTACAAATTTATTTTCACAAAATTCCAATAAAGGATGGGGCCACATTTGAGGGGTGGCACATAAGTGATGTGGCCTCCCCATCATTGCCACATCATTCCACATAGCTGATGTGGAGATAACGTGGACATGCTTGAGGTGGGTGCCCACGGTCGTTTGAAGGGGAAACTTATCATGAATTAGTGTAATTTGATTTCAAAGGACTATGGCATGTGTGACACATTTGTGAGTAAATGCCTAAAAGTAATTTTCTCAAAATTAGGGAATTCTATCCAATGGGATTTGGGTAAAAAAGAAGTCATAATTTGTTGATTACAGAGAGTTAAATAAGTCAAGCTATGACACTTATGAGCTATGACACCACTTGTAAAGTAAATGACCCCATGAAAGTGATACGACATACTTCAAATTTGAATTTGGTAGGTTTTTGAAAGGGACAATTTTGAGAGGGTCGCCCCACACAAAGAGGCTTCATGTGGCTTGATCAAAGGTTTTGATATCAAAATTGGATGGTTTAGATTATGGCATCTAAACTTAAGGTTTTTTAAATGAAACACGTTTCAAATTAAACAAGGAAAAAATTGAACGATTTAGGGTTCATTTAGTGATAAAGGCGATAAATCTCAACCGCCTTACGACAACTATTGATAATATTGATCAAGCCTAGGCTCATAAGTCTGTCCCATCCTGATTGAATATTACTAATAAATATAACTTGCCTATATTATAGGGTAAATGATTGGGTGGGGGATGAAAACCAATCCCTAAGAGGGTCTCTCGAACCAATTAACGTATTTTTCTAGTAGATACAACAAAGTGAAATGGGAAGTTATCCCATAAGAAAATTTCAGAGTCCTGTTATATGTTGTTACTTTTTTTTTTTTTTTTTGTTTTTTTTTTGGAGAGATTCCTTTATATACTGTTATTTAATGCTCAACCCGAATAGTTAATGATAGGGCCTCCATAAAGGCAGGCATTATATGGATCCTGTCATGGCGACGTCCTCACAATAGATAATTTGAGGAATAGGGCAAAAGTTTTTACCCAATGTGAGTTTAATGAGTAAGCTTACAAGGATAATAATAACCATGTCTTTAATAAATTTAAAGTGTCGGAGTTGCTGTCACATATGGAAAACCTACACTTGATGGCCCGTCTATAATCTCAAACAATTATTTGATCAATTGATCGACCCTCTCTTCTCCAAAGTGAGTAGAATTGTGTGGATAACCCTGATGAGTGCAACATTATAGAGATGGTGTAAGAAACTTTAAGGGAGTGGTATGAAATATTTACAAAATCAAAGATCTAATCTTAGTCAGGAAAAGAGCCTCGCTTAATTAGTTAGCGCTTTATAATTTACAACACTCTATCTTGGGCTCAATTCCTACCGAGGGTAGGGGCCCCCTCACCACTGACTCAACCAAAAAAATGATCTAATCTTGGTTGTAGCAGCTGAATGGGCCTCTCTCAGAAAATAATGATTTTGAATAGTCCGAAGTGATGTTATAACAAAAACTAAGGGGACCCTCAATCTTAGAACCCCAAACAAAATTTTAGATTAAAGAGTGGAGGCTTCCTCCGAGTAGAAAATTTAAGTTTAATTTTGATAAGAAGTTCATCAAGGAACATTTTAGATTAAACAATGGACGTTTCTTTTGAGTAGAAAATTTAAGCTTAATTTTGATAGAAGTTCATTAGGGAACCCTAGAATGACAAACAACTCTCCTACTCAGGATTGCCAGGGATCTGCTGAACAATGGGAGTAAAATCTAAAAATTTTTGCAAGGAGTACAATTGTTGGACTCCAGTGAGAAATGAAGTAAAATCTAAAGACTATATTGCAAGGAGTGCAATTGTTGGACTCCAGTGAGAATGAAGTGTTGATTGAAGGCCACTCCATTATTGCCATCAAAGAGTCTAAAGGTAAATATCATGTTTGATTCATACTTTCACCCAAATCAGGGGGCACATTATGTGGTTCCCATTTGAGATCCTCCATTGTTACAAAGACAGTAATAGATGGCGGACGCTCTTGCGAAGCATGGCACTAGCGAACCACCTTGAAAATGTTTGGAATCGTGGTGCATTTCTCATTGCAGTTGTAAATGTTACGCAGAACTAGTGTTCTCAAACCACGTGATATCTGCTCTGGGGATGGGAATCTGTTGAGACCAAACCCACTTCTGGCCTGCCATAAGTCTCGGCCCGATACCCCCTAAAGCTCCCCCTGTTATAATTTTTCTGCTTTCGTGAAGCTTGTTTAATGGTTTTTAGGTCGTTTTAGTACCTACTGCATGAACCCTATTTTATTTTTATATTTCTTTTATTATTATTTTGATCACCAATTTAGACCGATCTAGACCCTATTTGGATTGCCGATTCAGTAACTCTACACGGATTTATAAGTGAATGATGTCCTATCAATCAGGATTTTAAAACACTTGCACATAATGTAGGAGAAACAAGTCAATTTTACCAAAAAAAAAAAATTAATTTCATCGGGGTCCCATGGAAACTCTTTATATCAAGATCAGTTTAATTAATTTGGATTTTTTTATTTCATTTGGTTATTTTTAATCATTTTGAACGTGCAAACCGATACCTTACTTAAGGAGATCGGGTTGGGTTTTGCCAAGTGCTTTAAAATCTGGAACGCTGGGATAGATTTTTTATTTTTTTTAAAAAACGCTGGGATGGATCTTTCTCTCACAAATTCTTGCTAGATTAATGGATCAACAATCAAAATTGGGTCTAGAAGAAAAATATTTAATAAATAAATAAAATAAAATAAAAATTACTATAAAGGTTTATGAGGTGGGAATTAAGACGAGACCTAAAAACTGTACCATAAACTTAAATATATAAGGAAAGATTTTAAGACCCATTCCATCCCGCTACTCATTATCTGGATCGATTCCCATCTAGATAGACAATCAATCCTGCTTTTAATTAAGGGTGGCAATGGACTTGGACCCGCTGGGTATACCCGACACAGGTCTGGGTATGGGTCCAACATTTGGACCTGATGGGTCGGGTCTGAGTCCAAAACTTCGACCCAAACACTTTTTGGGTCCTGGTCCACGTCCAGTTCGACCTGACCCGTACCCAACCCATACCCATAAACAGTTGGAGATAAAATACTTTAAGCCTTATTTGTTTGACTGTATTAATAATCATATATAATAAAAATTCGCTGTCATCTTTAACTATTAAATGACAAATCAGACGGCTTGAAATCTAATAGCGGGTGATTATGACCTTGTTACAAAAAATATGGTTACGTGATGATAAAAAAAAATAAACAATGAAAGAAATTGATAGTGAGGGTGGTAATGAACTCGATAAGATACACCCAGAACTCGATAGATACGAATATGGGTCCAACTTTTGGAACAACCGATCGGGTCCATCCAAACCCAACCGGACCCGACCCATTGCCACCCCTAGCTTTAAAACACTGACTCGGCCGTTATTTAACCAAATCGTGAAAAGCAAGCCAACAATTTCCCTACACTTCCATGTGCCTTAAATGCAACAAAAGGCCAAATTTAAAAAGTTTAATGAAAAAGGTGGGCACATGAATAGGAGAGGTTTCACTATATAGGGCAATTAATAGCGCACTTGGTATAAGTGGTGGCAAACGAGCCACCACAAAGGCTGCCTCCCCACCGAGCAAAGATCCAGACTCCACTGGGAAAGTCAAAGGAAAACAATCCCACAAGAAGAAGAAGAAGAGAGGGTAGAGATGGGAATTGTGGAGGAGGCGCATAATGTGAGGGTGGTGGGTTCAGGCCAGCAGGTGATAGTGCTAGCCCATGGGTTCGGCACGGACCAGTCGGTCTGGAAGCACTTGGTTCCGCATCTGGTCCAAGACCACAAAGTGGTGCTCTTCGACAACATGGGTGCAGGCCCAACCAACCCTGACTACTTCGACTTCGAACGCTACCAGTCCCTGGAGGGCTACGCCCTTGATCTCCTCGCCATCCTTGAAGAGCTGCGCATTCAGTCTTGCATTTTTGTGGGTCACTCGGTCTCGGCGGTGGTCGGCGTGCTGGCCTCGATTGCACGACCCGACCTCTTCACAAAGCTTGTTTTGATCTCTGCCTCCCCAAGGCATGGAGGACCGACAAAAGTTTCATCCCTTTCATTTCTCTCTCTAATTTGTCGAATTGGGCAGAAGTAGCAGGCTCTGATATCACTTGTAAAGAAATTTGGTTTTTTGAATAGGAAAACCCAAAACGAAAACGATTTTCAGAAGATAATTGTCTCCCTCTACAATTTGGGGGTTTTCCGTCTGATATGCATTCACAAAGAAAACATCCCCAAAGCGAAAAGAACCAGATTCTTTTATGTTCCTTGTTTTTGGGGGTGTTCTATCCAAGTAGTATCAGAGCATGGTTCAACAAGCGCCAATTGAGAGAACATCACAAGGAACTTGTTCCTTATCTTAACTGTCAGGGCTTTGCAGGTACTTGAACGACACAGACTACTTTGGGGGTTTTGACCAAGAGGACCTGGACCAGCTATTCGACGCCATGCGTTCCAATTACCAGGCATGGGTATCAGGGTTTGCTCCACTAGCAGTCGGCGGAGACATGGAATCGCCGGCAGTGCAGGAATTCAGCCGAACGCTGTTCAACATACGGCCGGACATCGCACTAAGCGTGGCTCAGACCATCTTCCAGAGCGACCTGCGGGACGTGCTGGGGAGAGTGACGGTGCCGTGCCACATCCTCCAGAGCACCAAGGACCTCGCCGTTCCGGTGGTCGTGTCCGAGTACCTCCACCTACATCTTGGCGGCGGCTCAATCGTCGAGGTCATGTCCTCCGACGGCCACCTCCCGCAGCTCAGCTCCCCAGACATCGTCATCCCGGTGCTCCTCCGCCATATTCGCTATGACATCGCTGCCTAACACACACCCACACACGTACACATTACATCTCTTTCTTCCCCAAATGTTTCTCTCTGGTTTTCTCCCTCTCTCTTAAATTCATCTGGGCTTCTTGCTTTTTAAATCTTTTGTTCATCTCCTTCGTTTGAATTGCTTTTGTAGGCGTTATGTGGGTCTTGCTTTTGTAGGCGTTATGTGGGTCTTGAATTGCTTCTGTAGGCGTTGTTATCGAATAACCATTGGAGACTGCAGCTGCCTAAGTGGGCGGCCGTTTACTTGTATTATTAATTATTTTTTGTTATTAATTATATTACGAAAAAATTATAAGGAAAAGTCTATATTGAACTGATGCTCTAAACAATCAAATTAGAGCTTACATCAAAAATTTCACAATTAAGTTAGAGTTTACATAAAAAATTTCACTAAAAGAGGTTGTTTTGAAGCCCAAATATCACCAAATTGATCATCTCGACGTCAAGATGCATGGAAATGATTAAAAAATGGATTTCAAGTTTTGGACATAGTATGTTTTGTAATGCATTTTTGGACCTTAAATTTTCAAGATTTTTAAGTTTTCATAGATCTACACTATTTTTGAAGCTTTAAACTGTATAAATAAAGATAAAAATATGTTGTAAGGCTATCACAAAGATTTCCAGTATTAAAACTATATTTCTCGACACTATTTTAAGGTAGGCTCTAATTTGATTGTTAGCCTAGGCTCTGTAAAAACTGCACCCAAAATTTTATGAGGTTGCAGATGCACCTCAAAAATGCATTGGAAAAGATTGCTTTAATGTTGGAAAACACTCGAATTGATTATCTCGACATTGATATGGATAAATATGAAAAAAATAAAAAAAAAAGATTTGTTGTCTCAAAAATAGTGCATCTTGCAAGACGAACATTCATTTTCAAGATTTTCATAGATTTATAGATCTACTTGATTTTAACTATTTTTTTAATTTAAAATTTTTTAATTAAATATAAAAATAAATTTTCAAATAATCCTAACAATATTTTACACCGCAATTACCTGTTATATAATCACATTTGGAGCCACAACTATTATATTATCTTGTGATTCTCTTCACACTTGGAGCCACACCTATTATATTATCATGTGATTCTCTTCTATCATCCCATCTAGAGGGATAGATCCTCTACTCTCCATCTATCTTGGAATTGTTTATTACATTTTATATTAAAATTTAGTTTGGTTGTATGTGAAAGTGGGGTGAGTTGAGAGGTAGAGGTGGAAGAGAGGTTGGTAAGATTTGGAGGGAGGTGGTGATTACACGTCATGCTTGTGGAGTGCCAAACTGCCGATAAATGAGAGGTGGATAATCTACTTCAATAAATAAGAGGTGGATAGTTTACTTCAATAAATAAGAGGTGGATAATCTACTTCATAGTTAGCAAGTTTCCGTTTAGAACACTATTTTTAAAAAAAATCTTTGAACCATGAGTTTTTGAAACGATATTCAAAAAATCGTTTATGTTTTAAGGAAATCGATATAAACTTGTATTTTATTTTTTTTAAAAAAAATTTCTTCCATATAACCTTATTTTTTCATTACTTAATATTATTGAATTTTGGTTTAAAGATAAACACATGTGGGAGTAAATTCAAAATTTTAATTTAACAAAAAATTCCAAAAAAAATTTCACTAATAAGTTTTCTTTAAAAAAGTGAATTGAAAATACAACAAAATATTATCCAAAAATTAAGATATCAAAATAATCATATGTCTCACAATAATTGGTAGAGTTAGAAGAAGAGTAACTCAATGAAAAACATTTATTTATTTATCTTAAAACCTGAAACGTCCTTATAAAGAGTATGAAGTATGAGAGAGATTTAATGATACTAAAGATTTAGGTAGCTAGGAGTTCAATGTGGGATGTGAATTTGCTTAAGCATTTTGTTGCTTTCTTTATGCATAGAGAAGTTTGATTAATTTCACATTTTTTAATTTTGTTTTTTATTTCAGTAGTGTATGTAGCATAGCATTTTGAATTAATCACTATTTTACATATTTGGATGTTTATGTTTTTATTTTCGTTAACTACAATGCTACACTCAGGGTCTTTTTATTTTTATTTATGAATAATATGTTATAACTTAGTTTATAGTTCTTCTTATTTACTAATGTAATTCTCGTTTTTAGTATTGTCGTCGTTGTCGTTTCATTTTATGCCCCAATAAATCTATTATATATTTTGTGTTGTAACAACATAGTAAGGATTGATGTTGGATTTATTGTGAGTTTCGCCAAAAAATTATCTAGTATCACTCTAATGACACTAGGTAAGGCTACAAAATTATTGTTCAATCGTTTTCATGTGTCTATACAATAACTACAAATCATAAGTTTACATGTCCGATTTTTTTACTCCGTTTTTATGAGCCATATCCGAAATATTCATGATTCTTTAGCTTACATTATTTTTGGGTGATTTGTATTTTTGACCTGATTTTTCCGTCCGACTTTTAGAATAAATTCTATTTTTGTACCAATGTTTTGGTTTTTCGATATATTATTATTCCCCTGCTTCTTAAATATGCTCTGATCAGTGCACTAAATACTCGTGCTTATGTTTACGGTTGGAATTTTTGTTTTTTTGTTTTTGGTTTCAGTTTCGAATTTTGGATTTCTCCGCGGATTACTTTTTTTTTTTTATAACGAACATGTCGATTTTGAGTTCTTCAACAATAAGGGGTGGCAATGGGCCATGTGGCTTGACTCAGCCTGGTCGGTCCGGCTCTGAAAAATTAGGGATTGGGCCAGAATATGTGGCCTGAGGGCCGGGCCTCTCCATTTAACATGCATCTAACACCGCCTATGGATTGGGTGGTCTTTGCCGGTTGGGGATATTTCGCAAGCATATTCACGTTGCTATTTGAAAATTGTTTGCGTTGTAGATTCCTTCGTGGATTGTAAGGGTTTAATTTTTTAAATTTGATTTGAGAACCTGAAAATATTCTTTTAATTAAATTTTATCATAAAATATGCAAGGAATAAGTTTATATAAGGTTTCAACCTTATACAGTAGAAACAAGTTGCACCTTGGGAATTCAGTGAAAAATTGGAAAACGTTCCAATTTATTAGTTTGACCTCGAGATGTATCAATTTGAAGAAAAAACAGGAATTTAAAGTCTTAAAAATAATGCACAATTATTTTCAAGATTTTGAAGTGTATAAACATATGGTCGATATGTATTATTTTTGGAATTTTAAATTTTATAATTGAGGTTGAACCTGAATTTTCAAGTTATTGTATGGTTTTTGACACTGGAACTACGTCTTTTGTTGAAGTTTAGATGTGAGCCTTACTTTTATAGTATAAGATGGGCAACCTATACAAACCTTATCTAGTAAATAAATGCTATAAAACCACAAAAGCACGAGACTTTGGATTGGAAATTAGTGGGAACTGATCTAGTTCTCATTTGGAATGAAGAATTGGTTGTTCCTCACAAAACTGACTAGTTATGTCCGAGAACAATCAAATAAGTTGGGTGGTTTCCATATTTTTTATTTTTGTAATTTTTGACTTTTTTAATTTATAAATTTTATTTTTTTATTGTCCGATTCTCTCCTCCGGATAACCAATTCTTAATTCGAACCAGTTTCCTAGATGACCAGCTTGCCCGACCGATCCAATTTTTTAAGCGTTGCTTCGAGCATACAGTGCCCGGACCAGTCAGATTCTTCGAGATAGGAGAGGAGAAGGGCCACTGTCGTCTAAGGTAAAGACAGTGACGAGCAGACAGGAGGACAGAGGGCCCATGGTCGTCACCAGTTGTTGAGATAAAGATGGCTCTGTGAAAAGAGGTTAAATTTTGCTATGCGGGTATGTTGGGTACCTGTCAAATTTGATTTTAAAGGATTTTTCATATTTTCGTGATGCTCAACGTAATTTTGCACAAATAAGTTTATACTTGTGTAGATATGAAAAAGAAGAAGAAAAAAAGAAAAAAAAGAAAAAGAAAAAGAAAAAAACTATATAGATCTTTTGAGAAACAACGTGCCTTAAAAGTAGGTAACAAGTATGAAGATGTTCATTGGTATTAGATGTTAAAGGTGTACATTTAATTCCTATATGATCAGTAAGTAAATTAAGATCTTATGCTCATGGTAATTAATTGATGTACAAAAAATGGAAAAAAATAAAAAATAATACCTTAGCTACCCTAAATAACCACGAATTAGAAGGCCAAAATAGATATCATCATCATCGTCAGAGCTTTATCCTAACTATTTAAGGGTGGTAGTTCTATATACGAGAACGTTGAGGCGAACAACTAGTGGCCAACTCTCTTCAGCAATCTCGGATCTAAGAGCCCTTTTGGCCATCCTACTGCTGCTACTAAGGTAAGAACACTCCCTAAGTCCGCTTTTGCTGCCTCTTGTACAAGGCTATCCTTTCAGTTAAGAAGAGCAGTTATGAGGATAAAGTAGAAAAAATTTCTACTTGAAAAACTAGGTAGGGTCTGTCTTATCTATTGAATTACCTAAAAAAAAAGCAAAAAATTAATGGAAAAAGTTTGATTTGCATCTACGTTGTGTGTTACCCTTGTGCAACGACACTCAATACTTCTTTACAAAAGCAGCACTAACTTGATATGCTAGGCTTGAGTTGAGAAATCCTCCTCTCAAGATAACATCAAAATCATTAATACCAACCCATGAAATACAATTACTCTGACTAAGATCAACATAGTTTTGTACAACCACTGCACATTCGAGTCTTTCTACCGTTTTTTTTTTTTTGTTCTTGTTTTTTCCTTGGAATATTCGTTGATTGCCACTCAGTCTGCCTTGTTATTGAGCTAAAGGCTTTGGACCTACATAAGCCTTCAGAGGAGGGTAATTCCTTCCCCTCCCACTTCGAGCGACTATTGTGGTAGTCATAGAGGTTTTTGTTTGATTGGTTTTAAATTTTTACTTGTCTGCATCGCTCTTAAGGGCTATTGGTTTGGGGCCAAGTCCGAATCTTTCCATGAGATTTTCAAGGTTCACAACATTAGAGACTAAATCATTGAAAGTCTGAGGATTAGAAGCTTGATCTCTGGTTACTTGTTATTGATGCACCTGTGCACTTGCTCAGGCAGTGGTTAGAGACCAAATCGTTGAAAGTCTTAGGATTAGAAGCTTGATCTCTGGTCACTTGTTAATGATGCACATGTGCACTTGCTCAGGCAGTGGAGTTGTTTGTCCCACACTGAGATCTCGCCATCGGGCAATATACTATTGCATGGGTTCATTGTCTATTTTC